ACCCACCTACCTAACCTACCTACCCACCTACCCACCTACCTACCTAACTACCAACCTATCTATCTACCTATCGAATTAATGAATAGTTTTCTGTCCCCTTATTCTCGCAGAAATTTTGCTGATGACACAGATGAAAAGCGAATTCAGAGAATGCAATGTAAATATCTTTTTATAAACGAACAGGGGTGGGATGTGGTGCAAAAATAGGTACGGACCAGCCACTCAGCCCTAGTTTCCTTTGGTCATAAAAATTGGACATTCTAAGGGTTACATATTATGTCAGGCAAATGTTGTAACAAATGTAAAAAGTAACAAATGATTTATGAAGACTACTGTTTCTTGATGCCCGCCCATCAGGGTACAGCAATGAGGTCAGTGTTAAAAAGTACATTGTGAACCAGCGTTCGAGTGTCCCAGCGTTCAATGTTTCGGCTCATGCGAAGTCCGACGTTTGACCTGAGCCTAAGCTATGTATTTTTTTTCTGTTTATTGTAGCTGTCAATCCACGTTACGTATTTCGTAACTGGATGGCACAGTCAGCCATCGACAAGGCAGACAAAGGAGACTACAGCGAGGTTAGATCATACTATGCAATAGACAATGCTCCCATTTTGAGCAACACAAATTCAATATTCTGTTCTTGCTTTTCAGGTTCAAAAACTATTGCGTATCCTGGAAAAACCCTTTGAAATACAGGTAACTGAGCGTATGTGTCTATCACATGAGGCAGGTCGCAGCTTTAGTGCAGTTTTCGTATGACTGTGAAAAGCTCACAGCACGAGCACGTTCGTGACACAGCAAGAGATACGCCAGACCAATCACATTGCACGAGAATTTACTAAATCACGGCGCGGACACGGTCACGCCAAGATCACGGCTTTTTTAGACCAATCATATTGCGCGTGAAAAAAAATCAGCCAATTAAAATTCTAGAAAATATCACGGTCACGGCACGTCACGCTTACGGCACTGAGCTTTTCACATTCATACGAAAACTGCACTATACCTGTACGTGTACATAGATGTAAACTTTGAATGTGTATGTGCGCGAGTGTGTTTTTAGGAGGTGAGGGATAAAGGATTATGGATTGACTTGTATAAGTGGTTTGGCTTTACGTTGGGTTAACTAATAATAGTGGCAATCAATTAGGTTATAAAGTGTGCCAGTGTTTTCTCAGTTTCTCAATTGCAAAAACATTGTCCGGGTCAAAACTAACATGAAACATAGGAGCTGAGACCGAAAGTTATGCTTGAAAAAGACAATAATCCTCTTATGTATTTAAGCCTTCATGTTTATTGTCAGACTTACTAAAAAGTGCGTTACACACCACAGGCAACCCATAACAAGCAAAACACCAACGGCCATTGATTTGAATTTAATCGCCTATCGATTTTCATCGCGGATCGGATTACAGCACAGACAGGGAAGCGATCATAAACCACAGGAAACCCATAAATAGTTAAGTTAATTTTCTAAAAGAAGCAATCAAAATATGGCCGGGTTCCCTGTGGTAACACTAGATACATCTAATTAACATACTTCCCATGTACCATTTCGGTCTTAGCTTCTATGTTCTGTGTTTTGAACCAACAATGATTTTACAATTGAGTGTATAATCTAAAAGAAGCCAGACGGTCAAGGCAATCTGCACTAATCTAGGCATTTCTTTTCTCTTTTCACAGGCAGAAGCTGAAGCAGCTGGTTTTGCCTTACCCCCTCCCCCTTGGGCTTCTTCACTTCGTGTCAGTTGTTCTTCATGAGGACTCTTGTTGCCTTAACAGCAAAATGTCATTGTCACTACCTCCTTAAATAAAAATACCAAGCAAAATTTTCTTTCAATGGTTTTATACAGCTATTTCAAGAAAGGTGGAATACTGAATACTGCATAGTGAGAGTGCATTCCAAGACCGAGGTGCATTGTGGGTCATTCCTATTTCAAATATTTTTATTTTATTTTGAATAGGGTTTTGATTATGAAGCGTTAATCTTGACTCTGTATAGA